ATCTATTATTGAATGATGGTGGGAAAGGTCCTATGAAGTAAATGCCCCAAACATCAAATAGTTCTATTTCTTGAATGATTTTTTATGGCATCTCATTTCTTCTGGATATATTGCCCATTCTTCTACATCTGTCGTAGGTGACCATGAGTTGCTTCACGTCATTAAAAAGATTTGGCCAAAAGAATACAGCCTGTAGGATCTTTGCAGCTGTTTTTGTAGTGTCGAAGTGTCCTCTGTATGGTGAAGAATAGTAATGAAAGATAGTGTGTCGCACTTTGTCTTCTGGTAGACATCTGCGGACAATTTCGTCTGCACATGTCTTGAAAAGGAGTGGTTCACGCCAATAATAATTCCTCACCTCTCTGAGAAAGTGTCTTCTTTGGTCAAAAGTGAGGTGATGGGGAATTATTTTGCTTGCTAAGTAGTTGGCATAGTCTGTGAACCACAGTGCTCTTATTTGATGGACAATAAAGATTTTTTCGATTGGAAATGAATCATAAATGGGCACCAAGGGGTCATCTCCGATATCTTCTTCTCTTATGATTCTGGATAGATGGTCTGGTATAATATTTTCTGATCCTTTCTTTTCTTTAATTTTATAGTCAAATTGTTGTAGTAGCACTACCAATCTAATCAATCTCGGGTTTGTATCTTTCTTCTCAATTAAGTATTTGATTGCCACGTGGTCTGTATATTGGTAACTTTGGATCTAAATAGGTAGTCTCTGAATTTATCCAAAGCCCATACTACAGCGAGAAACTCTTTTTCTATTGTGGTGTAATTGGCTCGTGTTTCGTCCAGCATTCGACTTGTATAGTAGATGGCATATGCTTTCTTATCTTTCCTTTATCTAAATACAACTCCAATGGCTACATCAATTGCATCACACATCAATTCAAAAGGAAGTGGCCAGTTTGCTGGCAAGATCACTGGTGTAGATATTAGTGCTTTCTTTAACTTGGAGAAGGAGTTCATACAATTATCGTCAAAAAGAAAAGGAATATCTTTACCTAATAGGTGGCACAATGGTTTTGATATTTTTGAGAAGTCCTCGAAGAATCTTCGATGAAATCCATCATGTCCTAGAAAGCTTCTGATTTCTTTTATGGATGATGGTGGTGGTAGATTTTCTATCACCTCCACTTTGGCTCTATCAACTTCTATGCCTCTCTCTGAAATGATGTGTCCGATGACAACTCCTTCTTGTACCATAAAATGGCACTTTTCCCAATTTAGCACAAGTTTGGTCTCTTCACATCGTCTCAAGACTTTAGCTAGATTTTCTAAACAAGCTTCAAATGTTAAGCCATAAATAGAAAAATCATCCATAAAAACTTACATGCATTCTTCAAGAAACTCTGAAAAAATAGCCATCATATATCTTTAAAAGGTAGCAGGTGCATTACATATAAAAACTTAACATGCATTCCTCAAGAAACTCTTGAAAAAAATAGCCATCATATATCTTTACATAAATAGAAAAATCATCCATAAAAACTTACATGCATTCTTCAAGAAACTCTGAAAAAATAGCCATCATATATCTTTAAAAGGTAGCAGGTGCATTACATAATCCAAATGGCATACATCTAATTGCATAAGTACCACAGGGACAAGTAAATATGGTCTTTTCCTAATCTTGAGGGTGAATATAAATTTCATAAAATTCAGAAAATCCATCAAGAAAACAGAAATAAGAATTACTAGATAGTCTTTCTAAAATTTGATCAATAAAAGGTAAAGGAAAATGATCCTTCCGGGTGGCTTTATTTAATTTTCTACAATCTATGCAGATTGGACAATTGGTCACAACTCTAGTGGCTAGGGTTGTGTCATATTTTCTCTTAACTACAGTGATTCCTCCCTTTTTAGGCACTATATGAATTGGACTGACCCACTGATTGTCGAAAATAGGATAAAGGATACCTGCGTCTAACAACTTAGTTATTTCCTTTTAACTACTTCTTTAAGATTTGGTTTCAGTCTCCTTTGTGGCTCAATTGAAGGTTTAAATCTATGTTTAAATAAAATTCTATGCATGCAAATCGATGAACTTATACCTGTTATATCTTTAATATTATACCCTAGGATATTCTTATGTTGTTTAAGCAAATACAATAATTTTTCTACTTAAGCAGCATTTAAAGAAGAATTGATTATCATAGGGTAAGTATTATCATGACCGAGAAATGCATACCTGAGTTCCTTAGGTAAGGGTTTCAGTTCTACCTTTTGTATGGTCTCTATAGTCGGTGGCGTGTTTAGATCTCCTATTGGTGAATCATCTGGTGGAGGCTCTATTTCTATCTCCTGAGGATCTTCCTCTTCATCATTGAAAATATTTAGAATGAACTTGTCGAAGGGATCCTTATAGATTTCCTTGCAAATTATCTCCTTTGAAATTTTATCCACGATGTCAACTTTAAAACATTTTGCATTTTGCGCTGGCTGCTTCATCATATCAAGTAGGTTGAAGACTATTTCATCGTCTCCTACCTTCAAGGTGGGTCTGCCTTCCTTGATGTCTATAAGAGCTCCAGTAGTTGCTAGGAAAGGTTGGCCTAAAAGGATGGGCATTTATGCATCCTCTTCCATCTCCAGTACCACGAAATCCACCGGAATATATAATTTGCCAATTTTAACAGGGACATCTTCTATAATTCCACTTGGATACTTAACATATCGATTGGCTAATTACAGGATAACACAGGTTGGTCTGAGCTTTCAAATGTTGAGTCTATTGAAGATAGATAATGACATCAGGCTAACACCGACTCCTAGATCACATAAGGTTTTGTAAATCTTCATATGGAATATAGCAACTTCCATGATCTTTCATTTGTTGTTAGCAGCTTGCGTTGCAATCCTCTATAAGTGCCACTGTTTCCAACTCTTCCATCTTCCGTTTCTTCGTCAGAATTTCTTTTAAAAATTTGGCATAAGTAGGCATTTGAGTCATGATATCAGAGAATGGAATCTTGACATATAGATGTTTCAGCATCTCCAGGAATTTTCCAAACTGTTTGTCTAGATTTGTCTATCGGAGTCTTTGGGGAAATGGAATGGCTTTTCCTCTCAAAGGCTCTTCTTATCCTTTGAAAGTCTTCTTCTTGTCTGTAACAAAAACAAAGAGATCATATACCCATACATGATATGTAAAGTGGGTGGGTCAAATACCTACCTCTTGTAGAGTAGCGGATGAACAACCTCTAGCCTTGCGTTACTAGGTTGCTGATCGTAGGAGCAATCACGATCAAACGAATTGCTCCTGTTGTCCATAGTCTAAAAATCCTACTGTCTCTTGTAGCGATTAGAGAGGAGTAAGGTTTTCTAGAGAGTATTATTTTTGTGTTAACGTAAAAGAGAACGTGTTCTCCTTTTTTCTTAAATTTAGTTGGAATGTTGTAGGTTGAAGGAATCCAACTAAAACACAAACTCTTTATAATATAACCAACTAGGAAATTTAAACTTATTTAAATACACATAATAATAATTAGACATATTAATTATTATTAAGTATTATTAATGGACCCGACTTAAAAAGGCTAATCATGTGCGTACCCATACTCATCCATTAATTCCAACATCTCCCACTCGCACATGACGTGACTTGACCCGTACATAGCTAGACATTCATACTTAGTAGATAGATCGTGCGACCAGCATACTTCGAGAGTTCTTTGCTATACAATTGTTAGAGATATATAGCATCTCGAAAAAAGAAAAAAGAAAACTCTTTAGAGTAGAAAAGTATGCAATACCCAAGATTATTTACCACATTTATCATTAGCATTGATCTCATAACAAATTTCATGTTCACAATTATGTTTACTCGTAAACATAATTGGTCAACATGTGAACACAAAAAAATGTGACTGCAAAATAATCTTCCCTTCAAATTGATTCTCTCGATCATAATTCAACTCGCTTTTCTAGAAATGCCCCATTCAATTGCATCAATCATAATTTTTTGGCAACACTCTAAGCTAGTAATCACTGAATTATATCTCAAGAATCAGCCAAAAGTCATAAGGGTACTTCTTTGAGAAATATTATTCTCATAAGAGTCTCACATAACTAACATTTGAGATCACTTCCCTTGGCAACTCATTTGGTCGTCATATCACGAACGTGGTATGATACACATGTCATAGTGTTATTATCTCTCCTTCCACATGGAGTGCATGCCTACTAAAATATAGATTTTGTTTTCAACACTATGCAGATGATAGTTCAAACATACTTAAGGTCTAACTTGAGTTCACTAGTCTACTCAATACACCTAAGAACGCACATTTGGTGACTAAGACAGATTTTAACATATTTACAAATAATTATATCCATCATAATATCATCATGATATATATCTCATTTCTCAAAAAATGAGTTGGCTCTTTTGTTTTAAGCACAAGCTCTTCTGATTATCATTTATACAAATTGCTTAAAACCAGTCTTAACTTTGTTTAGCGCATAGATAAACAAAGGTGATTACCATGTGAGGAGGTCAATCATGTATCTGTTTGACATGCTTTTAATGAATCAATAACAGTAAATGTATAAAGAACATTCACACTCATATATATATAAAACAATCAACATGTCTTATTATTAATAAACCAGGCGAAAATGTCATAAAGCTAAAGAAAAAATTTAACATCTACTTTGTCCTTGAGATTTTATATGTCCTCAGGATACATCTCTAGGCACAGGTTTGGTCAATAGATTTTATATGTCCCTCAGGATACAATCTCTAGGCACAAGGTTTGGGTCAATGGATCTGCCACGCATTTTCACGCGTAGATATGTTATTTCATATTTACCTTCTTTTTCGTGTAACCATGGTCTCTCATAAAATTATATTTTATGTCAATATGCTGTCAATATGCTTGGTCTTGCAATGAAATTTAGATCTCTAGTGTAAGCTATTGCAGCTTGACTGTCACATTTGATTACAACTATTTCATTGATAGCACTAACACACCAATGTTCCAAAAATCTCTTTAACTAGACCACTCTTGTATTGCCACAGAAAATGCTACAAATTCAGCTTCCATTGTGGATAATGCTATACATGATTGTTTCTTGCTACTCCAAGATATGGTGCCATTGTTAAGCAAGAAAACAAAACCAAAAGTGGATTTTCTCTCATCCGCATCTCCTGCCCAATCGGCATCTGTATAGCCTCTCAATTGTAAATTACCACCTTGATAATATAATGAGTAGTCCGCAATAACATTAAGATATCTCAATATCCTTTTAGTTGCTATCCAATGTGCTGGACCTGGATTGGATTGATATGGACCTGGATTGGATTGATATTTGCTTACCATTCCAACGGTAAAACAAATACAAGGTCCTCACATATCATTGCATATATCAAACTTGCAACCGCATTTGCATAAGGAACTCGCTTCATTTTATCTTGTTCTTTTGGAGTCTTGGGGCATAATCTCTGACTTAGGTTATTTTGTTTGGCACTAGGAGTATTATTGGTTTACAGTCACACATATTGAATCGTTCAAGGACCTTTAAAACGTATGCCTCTTGTGAAAGAGACAACAATTTCCTCGAATGATCCCGTGAAATCTTAACTCCAAGTATATACGCAGCTTCACCATGTCCTTCATTTCAAAGTTGGACGATAACCAAGCTTTGACATGAGTCAAATACTCTAGGTCATTTCTAGCTATTAATATGTCATCAACATATAATGATATAATGATAAATTTTTCTATTTAATCTTTTTGTGTAGACACAATGATCTTCGTCAATCATAGTAAAACCATTCGACACGATTGTTCTATGAAAACGAATAAATGATTGTCGAGAAGACTGATTTAAATCATAGATTGACCTTATCAATCTACAAACCTTGTGTTCTTGGCCTTTTTTGACAAAACCTATTGGTTGTACCATATAGATTTCCCCATCCAATTCTCCATTGAGAAAAGCATTCTTTACATCCATTTGATGTAATTCTAGATCAAGGTTGCCACAATTGCCAAAATTAACATTATGGAAATGAACCTCATAACAAGAGAAAAAAGTTTCTTCATAGTCAATTCCTTCCTGTTGGGTATACATCTTTGCAATTAGATGAGCTTTATACCTCTCGATGTTGCCATCTGCTTTATGCTTGATTTTGAGAACCTACTTGTTCCTACTAGCTTTATGCCCTTGGGGAAGATCTATCAGTTGCCAAACTTGGTTTGAGATCATAGACTCCATTTCCTTTATTTGTGCACTTACCTTAGGAAATTTGTAAAATTGTAGTTTTATGCAAGGAGGAACCTCAGAAATTAAAAAAGATGCATTCTTCATAAAATCTACGAAAATATTGGCAATTAAACCCGAAAAAGCCCAATTTGAGAGCTAATATTACTAGCCCATTTTATAAGCCCAAATTGAGGTGATTTGGGGAGGAAAGGAGCCTAAAAACCAAGCCCAAAAGGAGAAAAGCCCAAACCCAAGCAAGATAGAATTTAGGCTATCGCCTAAGTCAAGAATAAAGGAAGAAAGGCGAGCTCCTATGGCCTAAGTCAAGGTAGGCGATCTCCCATGGCTAAACTAAGCCCTAGGCGATCTCCTATGTACAACTCATCCTCCGGTCAATCTCCTATGGTGAAATCAAGCACCAGGCGATCTCCTATGGATGAAACACTACTCCAAGCGGTCTCTTGACCTCTGATATTTCAAATACGAGACTACGCTAAAATATTTACAGAGTGTTATTCTAACATCCTATATTTTTGCTTTTCTGCCTGCCCCTTTCTCCGTTGATTTATGTTGTTATTTATAGAACTCAGATACTTGGAGGTTACACTTCTCTGCGCAATTTAGCAAGTGGGGCAAGTGGGCCGCGTCCAATTAGATTACAGCTAAGCATGAACTGTCAGTCAATGAATGGGGACCTTTAGCTTTGCAACTGGTGGTCAATCCTTAAACACCAACTAGTGGTCAATCCCTAAACACCAATCTAGTGGTCAAACCTAAACTTCAATCCAGTGGTCAAACCTAAACACCAACCAGTGGTCAATCCCTAAACACCAACCAGTGGTCAAACCTAAATACTAATCTCTACCCGAGGAGATATACCTGATTGAAATGCTTATCAAAAAGCCTCAAACACTGACCTGAGCACCACGAAAAACCAAAAAGCTTCAAACACCAACCTTTGCCACCAAATACCAAAAGCCTTAAACTAGACCTAAGCACCTAAACCGTGGACAATGCCTTGATCAAAGCCTCTAAAAGTTATTTGAGCATTGTCTTTCGAAACTCCTTAAAAGCCTCAAACGCTGACCTTCGCCCTATGCGCCCATAGGGCCAGTCTCCGAAGGCTAAGATCGATTGTGCGACTTAGATGAATAGGAGACTTAGATCTTGTATATGTTTGTCATATGGCTGTTCCTCTTTCTTAATATAGCAATCTCAGATTGAGACACCCCTGCCCTTCCTGAGGCCTTGGATAGAGTTGTAGTTTAAGTGGGAGTAGCTTCTGATGGCGAGCTAGTAAAAGTGACCAGTGGGTTTTTCTCTTTTTATTTAGAGTATCCTCCATTCCCTTACTAAACACCCTAAGCCTTATACCGAACCTAAGCACCTAAATCGAGGACAGTGCCTTGATTAAAGCCTCTAATGCTAGTATGAACATTGTCTTCCAAAATTCCCTTTGAGCCTCAAACACTAACCTGAGCTACTAAATGTCTAAAGCCTCACCCGAGATCCTTCAAATACTAAAAAGTCTTAAATCGAACCTAAGCACCTAAATCGGGGACAATGCCCCGATCAAAGCCCCTAATACTGATCTGAGCATTGTCTTCCAAAACTCCCTTTAAGCCTCAAACAATAACATAAGCTACTAAATGTCCAAAGCCTCACCCGAGCACCTCCAAATACCAAAAAGCCTTAAACCGGACTTAAGCACCAAAACTGGGATAATAACCCGATCAGAGCCTCTAATACTAATCTGAGCACTATCTTCCAAAATTCCCTTTAAAGCCTTAAACACCAACCTGAGCACCACAAAACACCCTAAGCCTTAAATCGAACCTAAGCACTTAAACTGGAGACAATGCCTCGGTCAAGGCCTCTAATACTGATCTGAGCATTATCTTCCAAAACTCCCTTGAAAGCCTCAAACACTGACTTAAGCTACCAAAAAGCCTTAAACACCGACCTAAGCACCTAAACCAGGGACAATGCCCCAATCAAAGCCTGTAGTACTTATCTGAGCATTGTCTTTCCAAATCTCTTAAAACCTCAAACACTAACTTAAGCTACTAAAATCCCAAAGCTTCACCCGAACACTTTAAAATATCAAAAGCCTTAAATACCACCTAAGCACCTAAACCAGGGATAATACCTCGATCAAAGCCTCTAATATTGTTATAATCATTATCTTCTAGAACACTAAAGGCCTTAAACACTAACCTAAACATCACCCCCAACTAGTTTAGCCTCAAACACTGACCCGAGCAACATTATACCCTCTTAGCCTTAAACACTACGCACCTACTAAACACCAAAACCTCAAACACTGATTTGAGTTCTAAACCTTGATAATGCATGCTTTTAAACCTAATCAAAAGTTGAAATACTGATGTAACACCCACTGCCCAGTCCTGAGAAACCCGACGACGGATGCTACATTCGGTGGTGGAGGCACCGTCCTAACCTACATATAAATCATATAATCATATTATGAATTAGAAGTGACTTAGTATTCACAAGTTTAGCAAGTAATAATTTTTTGAATAATATGACAAAACCACAGGGTGAGATCCTGTTGGAAACGAAAAAGAAAGAGAGAATGGAAAAATAATGTGAGGACTGGCCAAGTGAGACATATATCAGTTGACCATGTATGAGAGATCAGCTCCCTGTGCACATGTATGAAAGGACAAGCCATGTGCGAGGACGGCTTGTCAGAGATTTTGTGACGCCACTAATTAATCTCGATTTTATGTGATTACTTGAAGGTGATATCTTTATTGATGCTAATATTGAGCGAACAAAGGCCAAGACACATGATAACCAAGAGGCTGACTGGCAACAAATGAGACAGTGGTAAATTGCTTTACGAACGGCACCTCGAACTTATTCATAGCTAGAGTGGAATTCACCACACTAGATGCGATGCGAAAGATCGATCAAAAAGGAAGCACATGACCCTAAACAAGAAGTACAATGGGCATCGATCAGTGGTTGACTTCAAGTCATAGGAGTAACATGTCTTAGGAGTAACTGTTCTGCCTGCCTGTCAAACTGCGGTCAAGAGGCTTTGTCTGCCAAAAAGGTGGCCATCCAGTAGGCAACCTTCGTAAGACAGCAGCAAAGCGCATCTCGTGAACAGGTCTAGTAAGAACGCTGATTTCACATAGTTCCACTATGGCGAATACACGTCGTTTTCCCGCCCCTTCTAAGCGAGCAATCCAAACGTCCTGTGACGATCCGATCCGTTCATAGCCAACACCATGAAGGGAATGGGCCTACATAGGCCTGGTACCAAATCCAACGACCAACCTGAGAAACAGCTGTATTAGCTGGGTCTAAGGCATATTCGTGTATAGTGTAAGAGGGTCTCCTTGTGACCACTGTTGGCCGTACGCCATGGACAAACTTCACCAAGAAAGTTTGCATTGGGCACGCCATTTCATACGGGTAAAAGTGAAGCAAGACTTAGTTTCGCTAAGACAGGATTGGCGCCGTCCTTGATCAATTTCTTGGTTTGCAGCCTTTGGGGTTTAATAACTTACGCTCTTTCACAACAAGGAGCTCCACGGCTGGTTTTGAAGGCTTATTCACCGACTAAGGCGTTCTACTGACTCGACAGCAAAGCCAACTACTTACTCTAGCTTCTTCTTCTCGACTGATGCCTCGACTTATGATTCGACTCTGCCTAAAGAAGATAGGTTTTTCAAGGTCAAGACCACTCCATTTGATGTTAATTTTATTAAAAGTAAGTGAGTGGCCTCCGGGTGAGAGGTCACGAACGAGTTAACATGAAGAGTCAAAAAGCCCCAAAGTACGGCTTAATGTCTTGTCCCCCATATGATTTTATTTTTTTTGCTTGTTCCAATCTAGTCAAGGCTATCCTCAAGGGAAGAAAGAGAAAGCAGATCGTAGCTGTATAAGTCCTCAATTTTAAATGAAAAAACCTCCTGCCCCATTCTAGTTCCTAAGATGCCATCTCTTTTTCGATTTTTCAATCTCGAAGCCAAAAGCCACCTCCCTCGCCTCAAAACTAGTTGCTTCCAGTTTGGAGATAATTACCTAACTCTCAGATTGAGGATTGTAAACAATCTGAACGTCTTAGGAGCAAGGTTTC